AAGCAATTTTCAAATAAAATTTTCGTATTAATTTTCTTTTATTTAAATAAATATTACACGATAAATATTATTAATAGTAAAAGACATTATTTGATAAAATAAATATTAGATACGAATTAAATCTTTTTGCATCTCAACCAAGAAATATGGAATAAAAAAGCCTCGTTCAAATTGATCTCTCCATAAACCAGAATATTTTTCATTTTTAAATTAATAAATGTATTTCACGCGATTGTAACTTCTATTTCCTCGCAATTTCACAGGTAAACGGATATAATTGGCAAACTAACTGTTCGAAATAATTGGCAAACTAACCGTCGACCGCATATTTTTTCCATTGTACGTACGAAAAATGTTTTTGATGGCCACGCATGCCCACCTACCATACGTCTGTATTTATTCATCCCCTGTACGCGTTTTCCGCTCATTTTAATCAGTAGATGGATGGTTGCTTCTATTTATGAGCATACGTATACACGCGGAACGTCTCTTTCCCTGTACGAAAACCCAACTCACCCTCGTATCAATCGCTCGTGTGTAAGTGCACATGATTCGCTTGCCGGATATATTCATAAACACGCATGCACTTTACGCGGCATCTATCTGCACATGAATGGTCCATCGTATCTCGGCGGATGACTGATAAAACAGTGTTCGCTTGTACTTGTGCCACGGATGGACGAAGAATTTTCGAAACCCAGGAAATTGAATTTTCTAAACGGTAAGACATACGAACATATATGTAAAAATTGTAGGAAATAATAATAATGAAACAGAAATAATATTTTCTTAAAAAGAAAAAAAAACTTCATTCCGATATATATATAATCTTTCTTGTGTTCTCGATTTGATTAAAGATTTAGCGCAATTAAATTTCCAGAAGAAAATATAAGACCTGGAAGCCAAGGATATACCGTACTCCATCAATTTTTCCATTTAAATCCCCCAAATCCTTAGTCATCAATTCCAATTACCGGAAGCACCCTTCACCCCGACAACAATTTCCCTCAGTGTTTCTCACCTTCGATTCACGATACTCCTCACCACGACTCGTCCTCCCTGGGCATCTTTTTTAATCATCCCCTTTGTATCCGCCCCTGGAAACTCGACAAAGCGTCCGCTCGCACACTCGCTCACCGTTTCCACACAGTGTATACACGGCCAGCTATCGAAGGGTTGCTGTGTGTTGGGGGTGGGTGGACGGGCGGTTGGCTGCGTTTATGAGGATACGGGCTCCGAAATTGAAAAGCACCCCAGCGAGAGGTAGGCGAGGGTGTTCGTGCAGCAGTCATTGACAAGCGAAAGACCGTATCAGAGGGTAATCCTATTGGTGGACGGCCGCGTCGCGACGTCCAGGCGTCATTGGTCCGCCTTCGAGCTATGGGGCGTGGCCTCGAGTTCCTCGAGGGTTCCTGTGGAGGGGTGAGAATGCCTGGTTGCATCCCTGGCAACGATTACGGGAAAACCACAGGGTCGTTCGACGGTAGGAATCCAGCATGGCGGACCTGGCAACCCCTCCGAGTGAATTCACTACCACCACAACCACCATCACCACCACCACCACCACCACCATCACTACCACTAGCATTACCACCAGGATACCGACTTCGCCGCTATTATCGAGGCCACTGCGATGCTATTCACCACTAAACCGGCCGGGTAGTGGATTTCGCTCGATTTGTCCGGGGGAACACTTCAGGAATCGGAAGTTCGATCGGACGATTAATTGCTCCGTTAACTAGTCTTTTCAGAGCACGACTCTTTGACGACGTCGCGGGAATACAAGATGCTATTCGAGCCGTTCCACGTTGGGGGAATTCGGTTTGACATTTATCGATGGAATTTCTATCCCTTTTCATCATTCGTCCAATATAAACATTACTAATATGGATTGAACAATAGAATCTGTCGTATATTATGTCATACATTAACGTCCTATTGTTCAGAAATCGATCCATCCGTCTAAAAATTAGTGACGTTCGATTAAAATAACGTTGCATCGACACATTCCACGCCGAAATCTCTCATCCACTACATTCAATTATCCCCTTCTCCGGATCGATCAATCCTCGAAAAAAGATCTGCTGCGACCTAACTCAAAAGGCATTTTTTCGTCGAATCGCTCCTCTTCGTCGTGGATTTGACTCGTCTCGCTCAGCAACGCCGGGTATCGTTCAACTCCGCTCCGATAAAGGGGATGCTCGAAGCAGACCGGGAGAAAGAAGGGTGGAAATTGAGAAAGAGACGGGTTTCACTACCACGTAGCCAACGATCAACAATTGCACGACGTTCAGTTGGAGAAGGTAGGCGTCGTCTCGTGGCGACGTAACACGGGGTGGGGGGTTGGAGCTTTGGCCAGGCGTCAACCGACGCGAAGGGGCGCGCGCAGGCGCCGCGACGAGCGTCGTCGGCGAAGCGCCGCGTCAAACGTGCCGGCTATAGGTTAAATCCTCCCGCTCCTCGTTTTTGTTGTTTTTCCGCCGTTGCCTCCTGATCCCGCCTTCAAAAGTGCCAACGGACCAATCGGTGGCCCGTGCTCGCGGGTCGAGGCACCACTTCCAGCCACCAACGACGTCGACCTCTCGTGATACGGGACGATCGAGCCGAGCTAACCGTCGATCTCTCGCCGGGAGACGCCAACCTCGAGACGTCATCCGTCGTCGTTTCTCTGACGCGGTTCCATCAGTTTCCAAGACCCCGATCCTGGACCCCGAAATCGGTTGTCGGTGGAGCTCGTTCGATCGAGGTCGTGTTCTTGTCGCCCGTCGTTTTCGTGCATCAGTGAAGTTTGAAGGGACGGAGATGATGGGTGATTTATTTAATATCAGTGCGAGAAGTTCGTAATACTTTTGAGCGAGTTCTTTTTTTTTTTTTTTTTTTTGTTTTGAATGAAAGAAGTTGGAACAATTGGAATTATTGGTGTGCACGAGTGCGAAGAAGGGTGAAGAAAAAGAAGAAGAATTAGATAGGTGAGAAGAATTTGATGATGTTTTTTTTTTTATGTAATTGGATATCGAAGAGTGAATTTGATGACGTATCGGCAAGTTTTGTGTTGGAACACAACGATTATTTTATTCTAGTAATTGCGGTATAATAACGTCTACGCACTGTATAATATGTTCCAGTATATTGTCTTTTGTTTAACGAGGAATGTTGGTTGATACATCATGAACGGAGCAACGTCGGTCACGACTTCGGAGGAACACCAGCATCAGCATCAGCAACCGCAAAACGATCCATCTCAGGAACATCCGAGAAGTCCCACCAGTCCTTTGAGTATTCGACACGGTGAGTTAATATCGATTTATCCATGGAAACGTGTTCGAATTGAATTCAGAATGAATATATTAAATTCGTCAGAAACTGTACAGGCAAGAGAAACATAACTGAGCAAACATTCCTCCCGCTGTTTAGCGATCGAGATAAAAATAGATTGGTTTTCAAATGTTTCGATAATTTTTAATCTTTCTTGCTTTTCTTCGTTCTTGAAATCATCCTAATGATAGTTTCATCAATTTCATCGGATAATCTATTAAAATCGATTTCACGCAAGGTCTGTCATGTCTTCTTTAATCTTTCAATCCAAAGGTTACGAATGTAACGATAAAATGTAAAATTGTTATTTCAGATGTCGAAGCATCGAACATGAATTCACTTCCGCGAATGAAAGAAAACAATGGTAACATTCATTTCAGGAGGAGCAAATATTGTTTCTCAAAATTATTTGACATTACAACAATTGTCGATACTTGTTGCCTTTAAATCATCGTTCAACGAGCACTCGATTCCTCGTGCGTTTTTTTATAAATGAACAACTACATTAATAGCAAGCTGTACGTATAAATCAACTCTCGACGTATTTTTATGCGAATCGTAGTTCTAGGGTGGCAAGTGGAAAAAGAGGGTGTTACGCGGCCAACGAAATTATGCCATTAGTGTAATCAGATTTTGAGTGACCCGAAGAATTTAATACCGCATGATTTTTCTACGCGTTAAACGACAAAAGAAGAATCATAGTTTATTATTATTTCTTGAATGTTAAAAATATTTTTTTAACAGCAAGATTTTTTAATTAATTTAATGGATTTAAAAATTATTTATTATAATGGATATTTTTCTTGCTTTGGTCAGTTTCAGTCAGTTTCCACAAATATACAAGTGTTACGTGATGTATGTTGAATATAAATATAAAGAGGCATTGAAAATAGAAAAAACTGAACAAATATATTTTCAGTTATACAATATAATGACGAAGTTTTAATCTCAAGTTAAGTAGTCACTTAACTATTCACTAAAAATCTTCTCTTAATTAACACATTTTGCGCGATATCTCTGATTTATGATATTTACTTAAAATTCTGTTAAAATTCTCATAAGCATCTTATTGATTTAAATTATGCTTCAGGAAATTTACTTATTATTACAAGAATTAATAATTTAATTTTTACTTGATTTTAAATAAAACATTAATTTTAATTATAAACATTTCTATATGGGTTAATAATAGATTAATATAATAGATAATATATGGATTTAGCAGTGTTCATTATAAATTTTCCTTAAAGAAAAAACATTTTCTATATAAATTCCTTTCAAACTCAGTTCACAACGCGTTTCTTATTTTTATTATACCCAATATTACATTTACAACATCGATATAATAATAAAATATCTAAAATATTATGTCACACCTTCATACATTCACGTCGCGATCTATCACATTTCTCAAAACCAAAATTACTAAAAAAAAAAAGAAATTTTCACAATCCATTCCATCAACAATTCAAAATTATTCAAAATTTTCACTCGCCATCGATACATCGAAATCAACTCGAACAGATGTTCAAAATCGCGAATCGTTTCCATGCTAGACACCAGCCGAGACAATTCCGGTGTCTCCCTAATGCGGTAACAATTAGTCGAGATTGGAGCCGAGGGTGCGAGGGTGGAGGGTGACCAAAGTGGTCGCCGATAGTTACGAAACCCCTTTTTTTTCCCCTTCCCCCCAAGCTTCTCTCGGCCAACGTCCCCTTCGCTGGTCGTCATTCCACGCGCACCCCACCCCTGCACCTCGATGATCCCATAATACGGGGGCGCAGGTGGCGCCTTGCCATCCGCCAACATTGATATGCTAATGAAATTTGACGCCCCTGCTTTCGTTGCACACACGCGCACTCTTTGCGATTCGCACGCTACCGGCCACCATACGGGCGCATATAATAATTTTTCTTCTCTCCTTTAACCCCTGGCGGCCGCGTTCTCGCGTGCCTCCACCGAGATTCGATTACTTTAATGGCGTAACCTTGTCGCGTATCGAGAAAGATTTCTGGGAAAATTTGGCGACCGGATGCGTTGGGCGAAGAGGAAGAAATGTTTCGTTTTTCGTTGAGGATTATGGTGAGCCTTGGAAGTTGTTTGGGGAAGAGTGAAATCAGTCTTTGGGGAAGGATGGTATTGTGACGGAGGATTTATTGGGGAAAATTAGATTGATAAAGTGGGAGAGCAGCGGGTCTTTGGTTATTCTTGGCGGAGAGTGGTGGATGACAAATTCTAGGAAGCTTTAATCAACCCTTTTGATGTCGATACGTGAGCGAAAATTTTAAATATGTAATTCTGTAATAAAATTACGCACGATATACGTAAATTAATTTAAAAATGGACGAACCGTGTCGACCGTCTTTCGAGGACAGATTTCATACATCGTAATTCGTGTCTCTCTGTACGGGCACGTTGGGATTAGAGTGTTAACGAGATCGAAAAGCCGACACGCTTAGGAAGTTACGTGAGTCGCATTAATAAGATCGTTTCGAGTTCATCCCCCGTAACCGTAACGACGAAACGATACGATTGAATTCTTGCCGGTGAAGCCGGATCACGCGTGCCAGCCAACGATTCAAACGTGCTCCATGGCTTTGATCGTTGATTACGATTACGGATAGATAAGTATCTCTTGAATTTAATGTTACAATGGGACGGCTAATTCGCTCTTTAGATTCATGTAGCTATAAATAAATATATAAATAAATATCGAATCTTTTCTTTCCGTTGATAATCTTTCCTTTAAATGGCGTAGCACTTTCTTAACTTTGTCAAAAAATAATTTTTCCACAAATTTATATTCTCTTCCCCTAATATTTAATTAAAAAATTAATTAAAAAAAAGACAAGATATATCTCACTACAATAAATTAAAAAATATACCAAAAATCGATCTCAAATATATATTCCAACTACTTTTTTCTCTCCAAGAAAAAATCAATCGTAGAAACTTAATTCTATTTCTCAAACGAATAAGAGTAAGCACCAATTACAATCTGTCACCGGGGTAGTTCGAGCCGAAAACGATTTCAAATAATACTCGGCGGACTTAGGGCACGATTAAATTATTTTAAAACGGGGTTAGATACGGGGACCCTAACCTGATATCGACTTGTTGTCGATTCGCATGGTAATTCGAACGGATCCTATTTGACCCCGCGGCATTAACGAGACCGGAACGAGTTTTCGATCGGTGCACGATGCATCCGACAAATACGATTCCGGGCAGATCCCGCGCCTCGTCGGGGGCGCTGGCGTGACTAATAAACTCGAGTGGAGAGGCGAAATCACATTTCGTTGATCACGCAGATGTTCTACGATCTCTTTGCATTTCCATCTTCCAATTAATATCGTTAACGCGACACCGAAGTGACGATGAAATTTCCTATCTACAGGAAACACGTTTGGATCTTTGTTCCATCCGTTGCGATCGTGGATTGGAAATCTTCTTTATTCATTCAGACAAATAAAAGATAAACATGGGATTAAATGAAAGAGTATAAGAAATGAATAATTATTGAATACACGATTGTTTCGTTTACATTGATTTGATAAACATTAAGCGATTTTCCCCACGACAGAATCGTCTTACCTTTCTTCTGAACGTATAAATATTTATATCGTGGTTTTTAAGAACTCGTTTCTCCATGTAAATACTGTTTGCCTTTGCGATCCATTCGGTAAGCCTTAAGGGATACAGGAGAAAGGAACTATAAATCTCGTGGGGACGGAAACCACAGTCGGAGATTCTTACCAAAAAAGATTGCTGTTCAAAAATATCAAATTAAAGTTGAAGAAAAAATATGGTAAAAAGAATAAAATGAACAAGATGAATCGATTTCGAAAAATTACTTACACATCACTAAAAGGGTTAATCTTACGAAGTATTGACGATAACTTTATCATCGTCCATTTAATCGGCCACAAATCTTCGTGATCCTTTCTGAAGAGCTGTAAAGTTTGCGCACAACTTACGAGCATGTACTCATTTTACGTAAGTACACATTTGCGGATCCATTCTTACGAGGATCGATCAAGGGTGGATGGTGGAGTCGGTGACATGAACGCACGAGAGAGATTTTCGGGATTAAGCGAACCTCTATCTGCCATCTGATCAAATAGAACGAGCCAAATTCGATCATGGAAAAATTAGAAATCTGAAATTATCCCATAAAAACGATCAACAGACAAAAGAGAAAAGGAAGAATATCGACACAATGATCCATATAACGATTCTTCATATAATTTTGCAAATGGAATTTTCTTACAGAAAGAAACCTAACTATAACCTAACTAAACTAACAGAAAGAACTATTTGTTTCAGATTCAGGCGAGAGCAGTGTAATCTCCCCAGGATTACCAGAACGATACAGTCCTCTTGGGGCGACAGGATCGACCTCGAGTCACGATCCTTACGCTTCGAGGTCTGTCCAAGAATGTCCTGTTCCTCTTTGCAGAGGAATACCGACTGATTTCCCTCTCGCGAGATCACCCTATTTAACCGCCCTTGGTAACGGCCATCCTCATCTGTTGGGCCAAGTTCAGCAACAGCAGCAGCAGCAGCAACAACAGCAGCAGCAACAACAGCAATTGCAACCGCAACATGGCAGTAAACCACCGCGAAGCCTCGGTTTGATATGCGTGGTCTGCGGTGATACTAGCTCCGGCAAACATTACGGAATTCTCGCTTGCAACGGATGTAGTGGATTCTTCAAACGAAGCGTCAGACGGAAGTTGATATACAGGTAAGTTGAACGAAAGATTTATTTATTTTTCGCGTTTTTTTTAAATTCTTTATCTCTGTTGAATGAAATTAAGAATGAAATCGAAAGACACTTTTCTCTTATCCATCGAAATGATAATTATTAATAACAAAAGTAGATATTGCATTGTTATACATAAGATTATAATTGTTATTTAGATTATTAGATTCGAAAGACAAAATAAAATTTATCATTATTTGTTGGTATTATAATTTATGAACATTTTAACGATAGCTTTTTTATTCTGAATTATTGTAAATTTTGGATACTTATCACTTAAAATATTTGTTTTATAAATCTAAATTTACATGCAATTTGAAATTCTATTAAATTCTACACTAACTACTAATATTAAATTTTATATTAAAATAACTTTAACTTTATTCAATATTTTACAATACAAATTAATATTCTCTACTGAATAAAACCATAACATTGTATGTCAAATTACGTATCTCAAATTTATGTCAGAATAGAAAAACGACACATCTTAGAAACCTAATCCAACCAAACTATAATCATTTCTTCGCGAAATACCCTTACGAGGGAGGGAAATCTCGGGTCTTCAATCAGATAGAAATTAGCGAGCGGATCTTCTTACGGCGTTTAATGTCAAACTGGGCAGCCAATGGCGCCATGTGGTCCAAGTCGAGTGGGCTCATCGTAATACCGGGCAACAATGCGGAACGGCATAATGTTGAACCCTGAAGGACCTATCCACCTAACCCTATGTATACGGCATACTATTACCATCCCCTGGGAACGGCCATCCATCTCCATCGGATCCCTCTCAGCCCGGAATCGCTGTCTGATACGCTCGATCCGTTTTACACGGGGCCACGTACTCGAGCCAACGGGCTGTCGGACCCCTGTGCGTGCATCCCTTTGACTACGTATACGTGACTATCGATAACAGGCGGCCATAGGTGTGCACGTTAAGCCTGTCGAAGAGATACACGATGCCGGGGATACTCGATATACAAACTATTAACCCCGTCGATGCTCGAAAAATAAATGCTACGTCCGCTTTGAGCGCGTGATCGGATTGCAAATTGTCTCGAGTGACGAATATGAAGTCTTGTTGGGGAGGGAATTCGCTGAGATTTTTGAGTTCGAAGAGTTTACAGAGTTTGAAGAAAGATTTGAAATCGTGGAAATGTGATCATTTCGTCAGAATTATGTAATCGAGAATTTCGATGAAAAGATTGTGATATTGAAGTTGCAGATAATTTGACTTTTTTCTCTCGAATATATGTGTAATTTTTGAACGATTTTTGTTTCATAAAGTAAACAATTCGTTCGTCGTTAAAAGTATCGTAAGGATTTCAGCTATCTTTGTGTTACGTCGTCACAGTGCGAAAATGGATCGAAGATCGATCATTCGCGACACGTGTCTTCCCGATTGAACGTCTCGTGTCCCGTTACACCGGCTTTTTATTCTTCACTATCAATTCCTGTCGAATGGTTGTAACGTGGTAAAGAGTGAAGAGGCTTCGCACAGATAACCAATTATTCGTAGAGGGGGACGCAGACCGCGACAGATGCGTCTCGACGTGATGCACCGCGCAACGACCATAATCGTCAGATTAAAATCCAACTTCACGGATCGGTTAAATGCAATTAAGAAGATCGTGCATGATCCAGATTGCATGGAAAATTCGCGCCAACTCCCATTGGGCCACACTTGAATTTTGCGTGCAATGGGTCAACTGTTCCTCTCCTGTGCTCGATAAATAAATGTTTTTTTTTAATCGAAGGATTTAGTAACAGACTTCCATTCACAGCACGCGTTCAATGGACATATAAAACTTGGCAATGTGGAGCGACAAAACGAGAATAAATAAAAATTCAGAAAGATTGATAATTCTAGTAAAATTCAATTTTTAAGAGATTGATCATTTTAAATTATCAATCACCAACGCATCAATCTCCAAAATCTCTTTCTCTCTCTTTCTCTCTCTCTCTCTTAATCAAATCTTCAAAAACAAAAACCATCAAACCACACTATCCATTCTTCATCCAATTCCTTCATCTTCAATTTTCCTTCATCTTCCAATTCCAACCACCATTAGTCCCAGTCTCACCAGTCTCCATCCTTCACTGGATCCTTCCACCTCTCGCAGAGAGTTAATTCATCGAATCATCCGTAGCCGCGATCTTCGTACGCGATAACAGGCAGCACATGTTTCCGGTAACTCGATGAGCCAAACAATGCCGGCCAGCGAAAGAATAGAGAGATGCGTAAATAAATGTATGATGTGGTTCTGAAGGGTGAATGCCGTGGAGGGTGATGTATCCCCCCGTGTTGCATGGGCGGTGTGGAGGCTCGGTAGGGTGTGAACGCAAATCAATTTGCGAGAGGAACCCCGCTGGCAGGGCAGCACGCAGCCACCCTTCGGTGCCCTTCGTGTACCACCGCCTCGGGACAAGATAGTTCCAGGACTGTGGCGTCCTTTCGTCGCGCCGTTGGATCGAGCCGCCTCCTTGTGAGTGACGTTAGTTAAAATCGCGCTAACAGACCGGGAATCGATCGAGAGATGGCCTCGAGCCATTACACTAACGTGTAATCTTTTTCTAATCTGATGACAATCCATGGGAACTGTACGAAGATTTGACTTTCGTTTGTTCCTTTGAAATTAATAAAAGGAGATTTCTGGAAGAACGAAGTAATCGTTTCCAGAGAAAAAATATGGATCATTGAATCTATTCATAAACTTTGCGCTATGTTAAGCGCTATAGAAACTTTAAATCGTTATATCTCGACAACCGATTGAGATATCGAGATGAATCGAAAAATGATTTCAATGGTATAGTCTTCTCTATGTTCTGAATGGATTTTGATAGATTTCGCATGAAAATTTCAAGTTTCATTTGTGACTTTACGATGATCTATCTATCCTAATGTAAAATATATAAATTTATTTAATATCCGCGTTGAATCCACGTTATGTAAAAAAGGAAAGAAAAAGAAAACAGAAAGTAGTTGACTGAAAAAGCAAACTTTAAAAAAAGAAAAGTACCACGAGGTTACCACGGGATTGGATGAAATTAAGAGGGATAAGAAGAAGGTTACGTGACTTCGAGCGAGTCTTTACGTTAGTCAGCTCGAAAGGATAACAGGGTTAGCCGAACAATGAAAGTAATCGAATTTAACGCCATCTCCTGAGTGCGCAGCCAGGATTTCCGGCAAATGCGCTCCAAATTTGTCCTTTTTCGGAAGGGACAACAGCCATCAAGTTACGACGGTCGTCGATGAAACATCGTCGTCAAGGATCGATCGAGTTCGACAACTGAAAGAGCTTTCGACTTTTCTGTATGATGAGATTTTTCCATATTATAGAATCTAACGATTAAAGTTATTTCGAAAATAAATAATTTATAAAATAAAGCATGATTTATTTATTTAGAATCTTCTAAATATATGTCGAAAAATTTTATGTTCTAGATGTCAAGCCGGTACCGGAAGATGTGTCGTGGACAAAGCTCATCGAAACCAGTGTCAAGCGTGCCGTTTGAAGAAATGTATGCAGATGGGGATGAATAAAGACGGTGAGTAGTTGAATTACAAATTTTTAACAAGTACAGGTTTTTCTTTTACCGTAAAAATTAGCCTTTGAATTTTATTTCCTTTAGTTTTAATTTTTATTCGTGTATTAATTTAGAAACGGCAAAACTTCAGAATTGATTTTTAGATTAAAAAAAAAAAAAGGAATAATTCTGCAAACAACAATTAAGCTTTTTAACTTAAATCCCACTTGAGAGAAATTCGTTCTAAATGCAAAAAATCTTTTCTTTTTCTTCTTTTTTGTTACGTTTTAAAGAACATGTCTCTTCCACTCCATGGATGCCGTATGGTGAGCATAAAACAACTACTTTCCTCTTAATCGATCTTCACAAATTAATTAAATTATACAATTTCAGAATTTTGCAAAACAGCTTACCATGATCGATCGCATCGAATTTTCCTCGGCTCAAATACCTTCTCTTCGAGAAGAAAGAATATCGTTCTTTAAAAAATCGTAAAACAGAGAATGACTTTTCCAAATCGCCAGTTATCGATGCATTAGATTATCCGTTTCCACAGGTAAACCGATATTGTGGGAATCAATCAACCCCCGCGTTTCCCCTTCGAAACGCGGAATTCGAACGAATTCTTTTATGCTCGCGACATAAATAACTGGATAAGGAAGAAGCGATTGACGAGGGGTTGGTCTGGTTTGGCGACACCGTTCGATTCAACTCTTAATGCCTTTCACCCGACGAACAGACGCACCTGCCACGGCAAAAGAGCATTTCTCCCCCTTTTTCCATCGTTCTTCCCGTTGTCTTCTTCTTTCTTTCTCTCTTTCTTTTCTTCTCCCTTTTTCTTCTCCCCGCGGAAACACGTCCCGGGGCGCGCAACCAACTTTCTTATTGCTGAACTTGAACGTCGTAAGAAGAAATACTTCCAATTGGATCCCGGTTCCCTTGGCGACCGGAACGGCGACGTTTCTATGGAACGTCGATCGTTTCCACGGGAAATTAGATTGGCCAGCGTCGAGAGTTACGCGACGGGGACAAAGATATTGCGGAAACTTTGGCGATTACGATCGTGCGCTGATATTTTTCCCAATTGATTTGTAGGTTTCGAAGGTTTGATTAATATCGTTTCGAGGATATTTTTTTAAAGTGCTTGCTTCCTCGCTGTTAAACGATGTTTCTGTTCGAGTGTAACTGGGCGTAGATAGGGTTTTACCCTGGGAATTGTTGCGAATAGAATTAGTTTGGTGATGATTATATTAATCGTTCCATTTTAACGATGGATTAAGGAATCAATAAGGTGTCGTTATTTTCTTTCTCTTCTCTAAAAGTATAGATAGTTCCATTTAAACTTTTACTTGAACGAAGTTTTTGCAAGAGTATAATTGCATTATTCTTCGTATTCCTTGAGTCACTCTTCGTTCCTTTCAAAAACAGAATACAATATGAAGATATCTTCGATCATCAAAGTTTCCAAAATTCTTACGATCACGAATTATTACTCCAGCGATCTAATAGTCACAGAATCTATCCTGAAATCATCAGAATTCTCATTACTACAATACAATCGCGTATGCAAAGCGGTCGTCTTCCAATCACAAAACCCATCCATCAGAATCCTCGCTCGAAAATCGCGTATGCAGAACAATCTTCCATAAAACGACCTACGCGTCAGGATCCTCGTTACGTACGATAATCGTCCGATGAAAATCGCGTGTGCAGAGCGGTCAAACGCGTCGCACGCGCGTGCAGAGCGGTGCGGTTCGCCACGAAAGGCGTCGTAAACACCGCGGTCGTTAGCGACGGTCGCGTGGCCGTCGCCTAGCCCCGAAGGGTTAATTGGGAGAAATAAACGTATGCAACGTGCAGGCGGATCAGCGTGCTCAAAAATCCGCGCCGCTCCGTTGTCTGCCGCGCTCCCTTTCTCGCTCCTGTGAATATACACGCGTGTTATCCCGGCGAGGAATCCCGGGCGGAGGCCGGGAGGTTAAAAGAAGAGGCGAGGCGCAAATTGTGTCATAACGGCGGCCGAGAAAGAAAGGGAGAGAGGATATACGGAAGAAGCAAAGTGAAAAAGGGAGGCAGACCTCCCACGGTGAGCTTCACGCAAATGAGAGTGAAACGATCTGTAAAAGGGCGTTTATCTCTCCTCGTGTGAAACGATTGCACGTCAGAGACGTCGATGCGATGGAAAGGGTTCTGTCTCGAGGTCTCTATTTATCGAACGAGAAGAATTAACGATTGTAATTTAAGGAAGAATTAATGATCGTTTGATTTTTGATTGTTCGAGTGGATCGATCTGATGAAGATATTTAATTATTCTTTAAAATTCTAATATCGTTATGGCAACTTTGAGCTAGAGAGGAAGATTCGTATATTCGCAAGTTGGGAATTAAAACGACTTACAATTATTAGCGTTTGATTAAACTTTTTCAATTTCGATTTGGATCACTGTATTGTTATTTCGTGCAAATAATATTTTCGCTTCCTTCCCCCAAGTTGAAACTCTGGAGCTCAACGCTCCCCTAGATGCCCCTTAAACGTCCGTCGCGCCAGGATCCCTGGTTGTGCATCGAAAAAAGAAAATCAAGGCAACTTTACGTGAAAAAAGGAAGACGATGAGAAGGAAAAAGAGGCGCAAAAGGGAATGGGGTGTGTGAAAATAAGCGGACTGAAGAGTTAAAAAGACAAAAGGGAAAGCGCGGCGTGTTACACGCGCGGACAAGAAAAATTTCCCGGGGATGCGACCGGCGGAAGGGCGTTTATCTTTTCCGCCGGCAGGGTAAACGGGAGAAAAAGTGAGAGAGCGAGAGGGCAGTAGCAAGGGAAGAAAGCTTGGGAAAAAAAAAAGGGAAGAGAGACAGAGAGCCGGATGCAAAAAGGCTTGACGAAGTAGGAGGATCCTATTAAGCCGCTCAGCAGGCAGCACGACGCGTAGGTAAAACGAGCCGCGGCACGCTTTTTATCATTACGAAATTACTGTGCACCCGTGCCACGTTAAAAGGGGAAGGGTTGAAGAAAAAAAGGAAAGATATTCAGCTCGCCGTTATACGCCACTAACGGTCCTAATCGCTATTAACATGTGTCGCAAATCTTCTCTCTTGGAGAGCGGAAGTAAATGAAACTGCATTGTCTTTGCGAGAATCGAAAATAACTATTATACTTTGTGCTTTTAAGAAAAATTTATACGTTGTGTGCAGAAAATCACGAGTTTTTTTCTTTTAAGAAACGAAGATGACGAAGATATTTTTGTGAAATCTTTTAAGAAAATTTAAAAATGAAAATAGAGATGTAAAATTTACTATAGCTTTGATATACATTGCGTTAGAAAGTCATGAGATTTTTTTTCTTGAGAAAATGGATGAAATAGCAGTGTATATATGCAAGATTTTAAGATGGTGATGATTGTACTTTGTGCTTTTAAAAAAGATTTTTAGGAATGAAAGTAGAGATAAAATATGTATAAGTATGTAATTTTTTAAATCAAAAGATACAAAAATAAAAGAACGAAAGACGTTTTTCGTTTTACGTTATCTATATTAAAAATATAATATCGGTATTATCTTGTTGATTTGTCGTCTGACGAATTTCAAAAAGACGAATTTTTTATTTTTCACAACTGTATAAATATTTTATGATTCTTATCAGACAATACTAACAAAAAGAGGAAAGAAATTTTAAGATAGAATCATTTACACGTCAGAATTTCAAGATTAAATTTTTTAATCTTGATAATTATGATAATTTTCATATTTCTATTCATCTTGTAAGTATTTTCTAGCCTAAAAAAGAATTAAAATACATCTCTATATCGAAACACCCTAAAAATTCCAAACAACCTCATCTTCATTTCGTCCCCCAATATAATCATCTCCAAAGCTCAGAACGCCAAGTTAAACATTAAACGAAAGCCCTCTCTTCTTCCCTTTACAATTCCTCCCATTAATTCCATCCCCAAAGAAAATTCACGTCAGCGAAAAGACGAAAAGGGAATATTATATTCCATTTTCTCCATGGTGCATGAAGTTATTCCAAAGATGGATGTCAGCCAAAAAGTTATTGAACGGCAATATATATATATACACGAACAATAAACGTGGCTGATTTCTACACGTCTGTTAAATTCACGCTTGTCAGTCGCAGGCCGCTGTCGTGATATAACACGTTACGTGAATTTGACGAGAGGGTGGTGGCCAATCGTTTGTTCCCCGATTAATCTCAACAAGACTCGTCAAACTCTACAGCTCCGCTAATATTTCAATAAGAAGATCCAAAGGAAGCAGGATATTCCGTATAACGAATTATCGAGATACATGGTCAATTATATAACGTTTGATTGATCCTTCTATTTTTTCCAGTATGAAATTCTATAAATTGCCTCATTTTTAGATCGAGTGTATAGTTACTCCGTCGATTCTATCACTAATACATTGTTATATTAAGGATTTGAATTATGTAAAATACTGGAAATATCTTAAGAATGAAAGAATGTTTGAACTTGCTTGATAATGAATAACGAAGATGATGTATCAAGTTTCGAAAGAGCGTTGGAATAATAATTTTATAATTACTATTCTAACGTTTTTTTTTAATACGAAACGAGGGATAATGAATTTTCCCTCCCTTTTAGAAATAAAAAGAAAAATAATATTGATTCCTTGTCAAAATTAATAATCTCAAACGATCGTTTTCTTTCAGATTGATCGAAACAATTAATCGGCGTGTAGTTTATCGCGTTGTTGTGCGCAAATTCCAAAAGACATTACATTCGATAGCATTGACTAAAGCGCGCACGAGGCAATACACGGGGGCGTGTAATTAATTCGTAGCTGCAATTAACGCCTGCTATCGACGTTACATCGAAGGTGTGCGCTTCTGTTTCAGCGGTACAGAATGAACGGCAACCCAGAAACACTGCCACCATTAGACCAGAGGCTCTCGTCGAGATGGACCAGGAACGAGCGCTTCGAGAGGCAGCGGTCGCCGTCGGTGTCTTTGGGTGAGTCATTACTTTTATTTTCGTCTTTGAAATTGTTAATGGCAACTTTACATTCGTCAAAATGTTTCTGAATTGTTATTTCGATTATTATTATTCGAAGAGATATATTAAAAATCGATTCAAAAATAAGACAAAGACGTTAGGAAATAATTATTAATTTTTAAAAACATTTTTAAAACCTTAGATATATCGATGAACGATCAAAAATAAGTAGTTACGCTCAATGATCAATCGTCCAACAGCCTGTAATTTTTAAATTCACGGCAAAAAAATTGAAAATTCTTCTTGCGAAAACACAAAAATAATCGTGTCTATTAAGAAGATCCTTGCTCCACTTCTTCGAACAACGCTCAAGATTCATTTCACGCGTTGGATCCCACTTAAGCGTGTATTTAGGTGACGCAAAGACGCGATGAATCGTGGAGCGGATCCAGGTGGTCAGTTGAGGGGAGGATTAAAGGTAACGTTGAGAGGGTTTTCGCGATCGATAATCGTCGATTCATCGGGAGCAACAACGATAAGAGCAAGAGAGTGGACGACGTTGTTGGCACGTTTGATCTTCTGCTGGAGAGCAGCATACTTTTCGCCGTCGTGAGCAAGCGCGCTCGCAACACGCCACGCCGAGCGTGATCTATCATGAAAAATTACCTTTGACTAGTAGCCCGTGGTTGACCGTTTTTCAGGTAACCGAGTACTCAGGTTGGAACTAATGGAAAATCCATAGAGCGCCAAGGGGTGAACGTTAAAAGCGACAGCGAGCGTGCTCGGCGTCGATACCCGGAGCTTTCTGGAAATTACGCCTTCTTTTCTCCGCGTGCAAGCTTTCACACGAATGCCCGAGTTTACCGTTATCGCTTTTTATCCTTGATTTAATCTTGGCTATGTTTTTTTTTTTTATCAATGATTCCATTTCTTTCGTGTGTATTTAATCCTTTATTTCTTGATGGTTATTTTGTGATTACATTAAATCGTTGACAAATTAAATATGTTTGAGATGAAGTTTATGATTTATAATTATTAGGCCGTTCGAATCTTTTGAGGTATTATAAAATAATAATCGACTCGATTACATTTAGCTGAACGAATGAAAAGTTTTATTATGTGCACAATTTAAAAAAAAAAAAAAA